GAGAAAAGATAAAGGAGTTATTTGCGACCGTAAGGTGCCTAATAAACTTAAAGGAAAGTTTTATCGCACTGCTATCAGACCGACAATGTTATATAGTAGTGAATGCTGGGCTCTAACGGGACAGCAAGAGCATAAAGTTGGAGTAGCAGATATGAGAATGTTACGATGGATGTACGGACATACACGTAAAGATAAAATTCGAAATGAACACATATGCGAAAAAGTGAGGGTGGCACCTATTGAGGAAAAAATGGTAGAAAATTGGTTGAGATGGTTTGGGCATGTACAAAGAAGACCAAGGGAGGCACCAGTGAGAAGAGTGGAACATATAATTTTGAGTCCGATTAAGAGAGGTAGAGGAAGGCCCAAGAGAACACTTTTGGAAGTTGTTGAACGTGATCTCTTAATTAATAATATTCCTAAAAGCTTGATAAATGATAGAGCACAATGACATCTTACAATCCATGTAGCCGACCCCACCTAGTGGGATAAAGGCTTGTTGTTGTTGTTGTTTGAGTCCTATAATATGGGGTACAACTGCAAAAGGCCTTTATTATTTTTACATCAATATCTAGCAATTCGTTAAATTCTTTTCATGGTTCAAATCTTGAAATATGTTTTTACCAATGTTGTTTTATATATCCCGCCTCATGTAATTCAGGCATTCAAGTGTTAAAAGAATATTATTGAGGTTGAACATTTTTTTTTCTTATTTCCGGCATTTGTGTTTGTATATGCATTGTGCTAATAACTCATTCTTAATCATGGTGGAATATAAATTGACAACAATTTAATTATTAACTTAAAACATTATATATGTTATGGATTTAAATTATGTGTCATACATAATTTTTAATAAATAATGAGAAATACTTTAGCTTAAATGGTAACTTTATAAATTATTTCTCTAAAAAGTTATGTTTTGGTGGTTTGCCTGTTGATTAATAGCCGTACCTCTTGGCTCAAAAAGAACAATTTTGAGAGAAATTCATAGGTTTTCTCTCCACATATTTCGGAGAAGATTTCTCTCAAATATTTTCAAGAGAAATATGTCTTTTTCTCCCAGATATTTTTGAGAGAACAATATATTTCTTCTCAAATTTTTCATTTGTAAAGTAAGTTTAAAAAAATAATAATATTGTTTAGCATGAAATTAAAGCTTGATTTCTTAACATTTATATGTTATTAATAATAAAAAAACATTCGATGATATATTTTACTAGACAGAAAATTTTTATCAGCAATTAATATATTACTATATATATGAAATTAATTTATATTAAAATAATGTCATACCATAATAGTAATATCTACCAATGTTGTTTTATGCATCTATCTTATATAGTCTTTTAGATTATGTGTATTTGCCAACCTTAGAGCATAATTGATGTAATTGAGTATGTAACTCCCTATTTTTGATTAAACTCATACTTAGTTGCCATGAGATAGTTTTTGACTTTCATGGCCATGTTTTGATGTGTCTAAATTTTTTGCAATGAGCTTGAAGTAAATTATTAGCTTATAACAGTGTATGTTGTTTTTATTATATTAACTATGCTGAGTAGCTATAACCTCACTATAGGAGTTTGCATGTAATTAAATAAATACTTGTGTTTTATATGTTGTCCAACATGTTTGGTGCGTGGTCAAGTTGTTCACAGTTGGGCTTTGCTTTAATGTTGGTTTTGGAAGGATATTTGTTTGAAAAGGTGTATTTTGGCCCATAATGAAATTTTGCAGATAAAATTTTCATATCAAGGAAAATTTTTATACCAAACTAAAGCTATTAGATATATTATTTTATAAGCTTCATGTGGACACTCGAATAACTCAATTTGAATATTTACAAAGAAAGTTATGCCTATTTAAAGTTTCCTGTCATTATTCATTCTGTCATTTTGCTTATGGAATGCATATGTTGTGGATGCTATGGCACACATCACAGACAATGGGTTTTCCTCTCTGTGTTATATGCGTGACTTGTACACACATATGCTGCTGCATATGATGCAAATTTTTTTCAAAATTACCCTTGTTAAATTCTTAACTTTTGAAATGGTTGCTTTTAGACCCTCTTCCTTCTAGGAAAATTATTTTTTGACAATTTAGCCTCCTAAGAATCATGCTCACTTTTAATTATTTTTTCTAACATTTTATTGAATTTAAATACTTTTTTTCAATGGAATCTTATGAGGTACACTTTATTTAATTTAGTTTTCTATTACTAGTTATTTATTTAAGTTATTTACTTTCTTATTTATCATGGTTGGTCTATTTTATTATGTTTAACTGAAAAATTTTTGGTTTGTAAGAAAAGCTCTTTAAATTTGTACCATGTGTACTTCCTCCATTTTTATTTGTAAGAGAAAAAACTATATCATACAGTTTAAAAAATTAATTAATTATATTAATTGTATATGAAAATAAAATAATTAGACTTAACACCCCTTATCAATTGTGTTAATCAACTCTTCATTAATTGTTTCTTATTACTATGAATAATAAAATTATGAGGGCTAATTTAGAAACTTTGCAATAAATGCCTATTTGGAAAATGTGATTTTGCTTGTATAAAAAAAAAACTAAAAGTGGAGGTTTCTCTTGTAAATAAAAATGGAGAGAGTATACATGCTTTTATAAAAATAGTTTCAACTCTAAATTACTATGATAATCCCTTTTCTATTATAGTAGAGTTTCAAAATATTATCTAAAGTCTTTCCTACTATGGTAAATATTTATTTGCCATAGTAATGTTTTGAAAAGTAAATTTTACCTTTTATTATCATGGTAGATTCTTTTTTACCATGGCATGCATTTAATGAATAAGGTTCATTGTGAAATTACACAATTTGTGAAAAATTAATGTAAATTTTAGAGTGTTACAATATATATAATTAGATGTACTGAATAAATAAAAACATATTTAAATTAAAAACAATAAAATTCTAAAATGCATTACACTCAACTATGTGTAAATGAAAAGCCAAAGTAGCTTTTGCTTTAGCTTAAAAAATTCTTTTGGTTCAATGATAATTCAAACATGATACTTCTCTAGTACTATTTATAAGTCATTTCTAAGATATTTCATTAGTATTAAGGAAAACCTTAAAACTTATTAATTCTATCTTAAAATTTAACAAATTTTTAACTTTACCCCTATTAGATATGCATATTTCACTAACATATTTTCTCTCCCCAATATTCAATGGAGGGTAAAAGAGAAGCTTTGTGAAATGACCAAAAAAAGTTCTCTTTTTGCTCTATAAATAGGATCAGAGGAATATTTTACACCCAACTAGCTTTTGGAGCTCATAACTTGGTCTCTGTGTTTAATTTGCAAATGGTATACAAATCAAGTTAGAAGAAAATCATAATGCAATTCAAGCTTGAATGTAAAAAATAAAAGAAGATTAGGACAAATTTTCCCTCTTCTAACTAAAATTATAATTCAAGTGGAAAATATCAATTTAATGCCAATGAAACTAATCGAAAGATGGCAAGAAAAAGGGGTAATTAGAAGCCTAATTCAACCAATTAAAGCTAGAATGAGTAGTAAAGACTCTCGACACTTAAGCAAGTGGTAAGGGGTTTGAATCCTAACCTTGTAGATGTAGCAATTTAGTTGGGAGAGATATAATCTTTGCCTTCTGTATCTTAAGAGAGATAATCTCTATTATTGGCAGAGTCTACTACATATGCTATTGAAAAAAGAAAAAAGCACGAAGACGCTTAATTCATAGTAGTTTGATAATTTGAATGACTAGAAACAAGAATAAAGGCATTACAAAGAATTTGTCAATCAATTTAACCTGAGATTTAGACTTTGCCGGAACACTTGGTTGGCTGAATCAATGATAGCTAATGAAGTTTCACCTAAGAAACATGATTGAAAACGATGCCATTTTTTGATACCTATAGTTATGATTATTTAGATAATGAAATTTTTAATCCTGCAAGTTTGTTTTAATTATCATTTTGGTTCTTCAAATTTAATTTTTTATCAATTTGATTTCTTATGCTTTCTTAAATTATCTTGTTATTCTTTTAAGTTCCAAAACAAAAATTTACACACAAGTAGCATTTGAATTTATAGACTCGGATTTGAATTTAGATTTAAAAGCTTGCATTTGAAATCTCATACTTAAAATCCTTTGTTTAGGTGGTTTAAAATTTTCAAATAAAGAAGAGGTGAGTTAAGATTCGAAATGAAAAAGAAAAATTGAAAGTGATGAATTTATATCTATTTCAATCAATGAGAGATGGTAATGAGAGATAATAAAAGATATGAGAGTCATAGAGGCATTAAAAGTGAAAATATGAAGAGAACGGAAGGTTTGAAGTGATTGAAATTTCAAATGATTAAGGTGTAAAGGGAATTAAAATTACAAATAAAATATAATAAGAAACTAAATCCATAAATTTTGTGTATCCAATTTGGGATTTGATTCAAATCCAAAATCCACATTATTCTAAAGACACCACCAAATTAATCTAAAGTATGAAATATTTTGATAATTTGGCATGCATATGTAGTTAAATAAAAATAAAATATTCCTTAAATTAATTTAATTTTTATTAATCTAGTTCATTACGCTACGTATTATTCTTTTGTTTTTTAGCATTATGAGTTTTCATACTTTTAACCTAAATAATTACATTTCTTCCAATAACCATGACTATCATCAATATTATGTTATCCATGTCAGCAGATTTTAACTATATTACCTCCTATTTAAATGATGACAACCATAATCAAGGCAAACTTAAAGGGCCTAATCAATACAAATTAAACTTTAGGGACTAAGTTGGTAATTAAGGAAAATTTAAGAAACTAAGTTTTGTTATCCCCTAAATTATTAAATTATAAGAGTTCTCAAGTGGGCCCAATCTATTCAACCGTTTCAACAACTTGACCGTTATAATTAATCAACAAACAAGTCACCCTTTAACTCCATATAAAACCTCCGATGCATGAAAGTTCTGGCATTCCCCGAATTACACGAATCCTCAGCCACTCTCAGTCTCTTATTCCTTCTCAGAAAATCACTATCTTAGTCGCTCATTATTCTGACCCAGAAGATGAGTTACTTTTTCTTCTTAGCCAATTTGCCTCTGCTCTCCTTTACCATCACCTCCGTGTTCTTCATCTTGCTCCAATATTCTTGGATGCTACTTCGTTTCATCTTCTGTTCCTGTCGCCAGTGGCTGAAAGGGTTTCTTTTTCCAAGAATAAGGCATCGTTGTAGTGGGCGTAGACGTCGTCTAATTTTATCTATTTTAGTCATCTCCTTCTCCCTTTCTCCCTTGTTCTTCTACGTCATTTTCCCATTATGTTGACGCTTGTAAAAGGTATATTCTGAGGGCTGTTCCTTTCTTTCTAATCATCCAATTTCTTATCTACCTCATTCTTTATCTTCTGTTTCCCAAGGGCTTCTTGCAGAATTTGTTCAGCCGAAGCAAACTTTCCCTCTGGTATGTTTGTTCATCGATCTATATATATTCTTGTTTTTTCTTGTTTGATTAACAAATATAACATCTTATATATATATATATATATCTTATATTTCTATTACACGGCGTAATGATTGACATGAGTACGTACTCTTTTTGTTTGATTTTACTGTTTATCTTTTGTTAATTACAGCTTTTGCTTATTGCGAACTCTTTTTGTGCATCTTAGTTTTAGAGAATCCTAAGTTTTGTCCCATGCCAATAGGTTTACATATATGTTTCTGTTTTCTTCTTGGTTTATGATTTATATTTATCTTTCGTTTTCTATCTTTTTCCTTTAGCAGGCAATACCCCCTTTCATTTTCATCTCAAAGAAGAGGAAGATATCAACGAAGCCAGAGATTTTCTTTAAAATGGATGCAGATTTTTACATGTTACTGTAATGCGTCGTTATGCCTTTAATTTCAAATATCAGCGTGTGATGATTTTATATTTTTTCTTGGTGAACAGAATATGGATATGCTCAATTACTGGGCACAATTAGTGTAATGCCAAAATATAACGTGTTTCATTTTGAAGATTCATTGAGGCATTGTTGATCGATCAGTTGAGAAGTTGACCTTTGCATTTGAATTATATATGCTCTTCGAATTACTCTCTCATGTGATTTCTTTTATTAATAACTTATGCTATATTTTAGAGGCCTAGCTAAGCCAACTTTCTTTGGAATTATTAATAAACATGCCAATTAGATTAACCCATAAATTAATTATTAATAAACACGCTCTCTGTATATATTTCATAGTTTTCACATTTTTCAGAAAATTATTTTTTTTCTCATAGTATTGAACCAAAAAAAAAAATTTGCTTTAGTAAGATTTGAAATAAGGACAGGTTCATTATTCAATCTTGATTAACGACTCTATAGACTATACATATGAAATTTATCTTTTTATATATGAAATTTTACTCTGGTCATGAATTATATTTAAGGATGATAATAATTATAATGTAAATAATTAATTTGGTTTAATGTATTTGGTTTAATGTGGTCTGGCCCATTAATTTTAATTTAGTTCAGATAAGATTCATCTAATCCAAAGTTGAGCTCCAAGTTTAATTAATCTTTTTATTTTCTTTTAGTATGAAGGTTGGAGACTGAAAAAAAAAAATCTATACAAATTAAAGGTGTATGTCTAATCAAGAAGGGATGGGGGCGTTCAAAGTTGAAATAGAAGTAGAGGTTCATGATGTGAATAAGAATGCCTTTATTTCTAGATTCAGCAAGGTGGAGTATTAAAACAGGGAGGTTAAAGGCAGGCCTTGGTTTATAAAGGGTTTCTTATTAAATCTAGGGAAATTTAAGTATAGGTCCTATGGAGAAAATTTATTTACAAATTAATCTCACGAAATTCAAAAACTACAACCAAGTTTCTTGGAGTATAATTTGTAATTAGGATACAAAGATGATAATACTCCTATTAAAAATTCATTACATTATTCAAGTAATTTATAACTACACTTCAATTTTTTACAATTATAACTTCACATATTCAATAATTAAACTAATCATTCATTACAAGTAAGGGCAATATTATCTTTACACTCTAATTTCAAAATTATATTCAGGTCCCAAGGGACGTAACTATGGTTTCTAAATTTTGAGAAATTTATTTGCAAATAAATATGCTCCACAAGACCTACATATAAAAAAAAAAAATCTACAAAGCTAGAATAATTATATCCATCACAGCCCAAAATTGGAGGTGATCAACACATGATATATGTTAAAACTCATATCCTTTAAGCCTTAACTTTAGAAGCTTCTAATTGTGGACCATGAATAATTTTCATGTAGAATTGGATATTCATAAAAAAAAAATCATACAAACAAAAAATTAAATACTTTTGTAGAAATTTTGATAGAACCTACCTTGTAAATCGGATGTTCAAAAAAATCTACAACATTATTTTTACACAAAACAACAATCAGGTGCTCAACTCTTGTTAGTAGACCAACAACAAAAGTAACCAAACAAGAATCCTAACTATAGTCTATGTGAAACACCTAGAATATAGTTTACAAAATATTAATATATAAATTCAAGTTTTACAATAAATGGAGATTACCCAAAATAATGCTTCAACTTCAGCTTTGCATTAAACCCCTCAATGTTCCTTTGGAGGTATGGGGCTATCTACATTGTTTAAGACCAAAAAATATCTTCAGGTGAATAACATCCCAACAACAATAATTAAATTCAAATAATGACAAAGGATATAATAAAGGAAACATGTAACTACTTTAAAGAAGTAATTTAATATAATGTAAACACCTTGCTCCAAAATCATAAATCTCTAGGACATTTTGACCATACGAATGACAAGAAGACATATCCATCGTTATTTGTTTCCAATTTGCACAACTATAAATATAAAATCAACATTCAAACCATGATTCTTTAGACTAAAAAATGAAGATTGTGATAATAACCTTGTCAATAAGAATCAAATAAAATTATATATAAAATAAGTGAATTAAGTAAAACTATACTTTATTGGGACCTGAATAGAATAGATAACAAAATGTAGACATATAATCAATGAGGAGAAGTAACTAATCATAGTTTAAAGCTATGAAAACAAACGTGGATACATAATTATCTATGAGGGTGATAGCCAAAAATGTGAACACAGAATCCATGAGAATAAATAACCAAATGAGGCTTGAAGTCATAAAAACAAGTATAGGCACACAGTCCACAAGAGTAATACTAATCAAATGCAGCTCAAAGCCATATAAACAAATGTAGGTATGAGACCCATGAATAACCAGTGCTTTATACATAGTCCCTTAGAAATCAATTTTTAAACATGCAAGAAAATAATTGCTTTCAAAATATAATTTTTCCTTTCCAATATCAAATTCACATGAATTGTTGAAAGCATCAATCCTATTAAATATGAAAATTTATAACTGTCTTATAAACTTATTTACCAATTTCCATGATTGTCAATCTTTATCAAATAAAAGATTACTAGAACTTGTAAAAAAAAAAACATTTTCTTGAAACTAAAAAGTATCTTTTGCAAGAAAATGTCCATTCACATACAAAAATTCACCTATCCTTCACCACACACACTATGACTTCACAAGCTCAAGTAATTTTGTTAACAAAATAATATTTCAATAAAAGAAATTTGTAGTTTTAATTGAGATATTATCTACTTACTGATATGTTATATTTACATGCTCCTTAACACTCTTTACAGCAAGGTTTATTCTTAAAACATTTCAATATAATGATAATTGAACCTCTAAAATTTCATAAAAGCTCACAATAGCTCAATCACTTCATTACTGTAGTATATTCCTTCCATGTTCTTGAACATTAATCTTTTTTGTGTTTTTCATTCCAAAGACTTTCATTTAATTTTATCCGCATTTCTTTTTAATCCACAAGTATAATAATCCACTAATACTAAAAAATAATACACTTTAACTATAAGAAATGTCATTACTAAACTCTTTGTTTACATATTCACTATTTCCACACCATTATAATGTGAATCCATATCATTTTGTTTAATATAATTGAAGGTTTAAATAAGTAAAATAAGGTAAAATAAAAAGTAATAATTAAATCATACAAGTACCATAATTTATAAGCTGCCAATCATACAACTCTCAAGCATCAACATGTTCTTTTATAAGGTTCCCCAAATTCAATTTCATAACAAGATTCAACTTAGTTTATAAGCAAAATAGAATCCTAAATTTAAATGTAGTCCTTAATACATTGAATGTATTTAATTATTCCATTCCAACTGTTCTACACATTTTAACAAATTCTTGATGTATCAATAATCAAACTATATCATCAAGCTTCTTTTTCTTCAAAACTCTTTCTCAACAATTCCTAAACATCAAGATATAAATTTACTATGCTTCCTAAACTTGGATTTTTTTCCACAGGCTTCCCAAATCTCCTTTCTTCAACACAAGCAAATTTCCCAATAAGAATCAAGTTCACAATAACACAATCAACACATGCACTCACATGTTTGTTGGAAGAAGATAACGGGAATGGGGTTCAACTAACCAAAAGATTAAATGAGGAATCAAGGGAGGAGACAAAAGCTTAAAGTTTCCACACACACAAATCGGCATCACAACAATGAAGGATAAAGATATGAGATTCACTCGTCTGTCGAGTGAATGAGAGAGATGAAAGGAGAGAGTCGAGACTCCCTATGGCTACACCCACAAGTGCAACAATGATGCAGAGACAAGGAGGAGGATTGATCGATGGTGACACAAAAATAAGGAGGAAGAGATTGTGACCTAGTCAGAACTCCTTAATACAGCTTTAATGTCCTATGACATTAACCTCACATAAACACACCATGAGGATAACTGAAGAGATTAAGAAAGACACTAAAGGAAATTTACACCCAATTGAACAATGATAAAAAATATTATATGGAGACAAAAGGATTAACCTTGTCTATTGGTAGATTTCCAAGATTACTTCTTAAAACACTTTAAACAAATGGGTTCCCAACATAACTTATATTGAAAGCAAGAAGTAAGGCCCTAGAGAAAATCACCTGAAATTAGAATAACCAAAATGCATATGAAAGAGTTTGATTATTAAGGACAAGTAAAACAAGGTTAAAAAGATCATTTTTGTGAAATAAAGCAATCCACCATTACTAAACATGCATCTGCTACTGCAGATGCCACGACCTTTCTACTTAGGCCAGCTCACCCGACCATGTTTGCCGTGGCCAACTAGGTACTCCATTACAGGACACACATCCTAATAACAACATATATGATGACAATTAAAAGCTAACTTTTAGAGTACCTAGTATTTTGCTAAAACTTCTGATTAAGTTGATACAAGCATCCATATGTAGATAATTAAATGCTCGAACTAATAGCTCTGGTTTCACCTCAATCTAGTACCAATAAGGATCCTAGACACTTGGGATTAGAATTAATTATTGTCAAACTTACAATCATATCGACCAAGTGTCTCTCTCATAGACCTTTAGCATAATCCTCTTGATGAGCATAACTAACACTCATACTCAACATGCATAACTACAAATCATGCCATTATAATTAATCATCATTCGTAACACATGTTAACATGCTAGGCTCCACTAATAAAAAAAATCATATTGATATCAATGCCAAAAATTGCCCAAGTCAATACTAGGCACATGCAAATGAAATATAGTTAAGCATGTACAAACCCCTTAATGTTGGCAACCATAAACTTAGCTAGAGACTTTACACTCTTTTGTCTCTACCCTCGGAGGCCTCCCCCTTTTGCTCTTAGCCAAAAAGTCTCCTGAAATCATTAAACCATAGGGAGTGAGACTATGAAATCTCAATAACCAAGGTGCATAAATTCAAGTGCATAAGAGTAGAAAATACAAGCATAAAAAGCTAAGCATAAATTCAAGTGCATAAGAGTAGAAAATACAAGCATAAAAAGCTAAGGTTCACATGTAACATTCTACTTATGCTCAACATACATCATAATTTTGTTACTCATTAATCACATAGCAT